AAAGGATCTGCAGCTAACTGTTTTGTACACCACAATCGACCGAAAAAAAAACACAAATATTAAATATGCATGCCTTTAGATAAATAAAACGAAGACGTGTCTTTAGCCACTAAGCCGTAACTTTGACATTGAATACAAGTCATCTTAGAAATGAATGATGACAGAGAAGAATAAGTTATATCTGAAATTACAGGTGAAGAAAATAACTTCAACAAAAAGACCTTCCACCAAGTGAATTCTTTGGGAGAACCATATGACTTTGACAGGTAATATTTAAATAGGGTCGTCATTTATCAAAATGTACTCGATTACAGTAAAACTTTGAATAAATGTCACTCATTTAGCTGTCAATTCTTGTTATCCAACATCGTCCTAAAAAAAATTTACTACCAAAAACCTGCAGCAAGCCACTCAGAAGTAGATAACGAACGAACGAACAAATTTTATTTTCAAAGCGTTACAAATTGGGCACGCAGGCCTGTCTGACATTCGACCCTTATAAGCACACATTTATCAGAGTACCAATGCCTGTAATCAATAATGCATGTTATGGATATAATAAGAAAATATACATTACAGAATAAGGCATACATACATCATCTGTACACAATATTACACACTCATACACACACACGTATATATACTCTTACATTCTCATACATGCACACTCATATAAAGACATACCTAATACATACATACACGCATCTACATACATACACAAACAGAAAACATACACACATACATATATGGACATACATGCACATACACATTCCATACATACACACCTACACAGGTATGCATGCATTCACACACATACAATCACATGCACAGACACCCACCTACACTCACAACCACACATTTTCACTCACATGCATTAATACATACACACGTCTATATATATATACCTACATCTTTACACACATACATACATACTTGCATACATACCTAAACATACACACATACACCCACATACTTACACAGCTACATATGCATACATACATCCACCAAAATGTATACATACGCACATACATGCATACATAACTCCACATATATGCCCACACACATTACAGACATACACACACATGCAAGCATTCACACATATATACAATCACCCATGCAGATACCCAGGTACATACATTCATACCTGTATACATACATACTTGCATACATTATATACACACACACCCACAATCACACATACACTCATATACAATCACACATAAATACAACATACATACATAAATACACACACATACTTACAAACCTAAACATACATTCATATATCAACATGTATACACACACACCGACAATCACACACACTCTAATAATACATACACACTTACATACATCATCATCATCAGGTGCCTTGCCGACTGGCGTGGGCGATCATGCCTCTCCACAATCTGCGATCTCCTGCAGCATGTATCAGATTGTGTGCCGACACACCTCATTGCCATGCAACAAGACTGTCAAGCATCTTCTCTCGTTGTCTTCCTCTATCTCTCCTTTCAAATATATTTCCAGTGGTCACAACATGTTCTATTTTCCTTCTTCTCATAACATGGCCGAAAAATGATGACTGTCTCCTTCTGATGTCTGTGATAAGTTGTCTCCGTGCTCCCGCCTCTTTCAAAACCTCTTGGTTGCTCTTTTTGGCTGTCCAAGGTATTCTAAGCATTCTTCTGTAAAACCACATCTCCGAGGCCTCCAGAAATTGTTTGGCCTGCCTACCGATTGTCCAGGATTCTTTTTCTAGCTCTCAATGACAAGGATATATTGCACAAGATGTTTTTCATTTTATAAAATGCAGTTTTTGCCTGTCCTATTCTATTTATTATCTCAGTTATGCATCTTCCATGTGATGTTATCCATGTGCCCAGATACTTAAATTTCTGTACTTGTAAAAGAAAAAATTCTATAACTATATTGTCATCATGTGTAAAGATGCTCCCCGTGTATTTAAAGTGTTGAACTTCTTTTAAACTTTGATCTTTATCTAAAATGCATGACGTCTGTATCCACAGTATAATGCATTATCCGCCGAACACAGGTTCACATCATCCATTGCTGGACACGATAGTGTCCAAAGTGACACCCAAGCCAAATTTCAACTTGGAAATGAGTCACCGAGAAAGCTTAAGCCCTGGGGATATCAGACAAACTAACAAACTGTACAGATGTCCTAGTAAGTGCATCATTAATACATGACTTTCTCTTAAATTGATTTGAGTAAAGCTAGCATCCGGCCATCAGACAATACAAATGGCTTATAAAAGTGCTTAGAATGTTTATTCAAAGAAAAGAAAATTCGTTCTAATCCCACTAATAGTTTAGTAGTGAGTACACGCGGAAAATAGACCACTTATTGAAAAAAAAATCAACGCTAGGAAAACACTAAGAGCAAAATAACAGCAGCATGAATAAATTAACAGGTGTCGGCTAGTCTTCTGTATAAATTAAAATGTAGATTTTCATTTGTTAGTAATAGTTAATATCCGAAAGTTCTTCACCGATTGCTTTCAAATTCTGACACAACGTTGCATTCGAATATGCGTCTGTTCTTATATAAGAGTATCACACAAAGCACGAACTGCATAGCAATAGCGACGATCATATAGGTATCTTGTTTTTGTTTTTTGACGATTCAAATTTTTTTTTTTTTTTTTGTCGTTGCTGTGTTCCCGGCGCGGGTTTTTATTGTAGGCGAACTTTGACTGTTGCTCTCAGAAATCTGTATGAAGTTGTAACGGGGACGAAGAGTTGTTGACAAATTGTATGGAAATGTAAAAACGTGGGCATTCTTCGGTGAAGGAAAGTGGAGTAGTTGGTGAATTTGAATGAAAAAGGGGGGGGGGGGGGGGCAGGTAGTAACAGAAACTGTTAACTTAGACAGCTTAAAGTTACAGCAACTGCCTTGCCCGAAAGATTAAACAGAATTGCAGTAGTTTTTGTGGTTGGCCGGGTGGTTACAACGTCGAGCTGTCATGTGGGATATCCGGGTTCGACTCCCAGTAAGGTGACAGAGTTTTCTGTCGAAGGTACAATTAAACATCCAAACCTGAACAGTCCGTGCCAACAGCACCAGCCATGCGACGCTAAATCCTCTTGCTCGCGGCCCCCTGTCTACACCGTCCTTGAAAGGTGGTAAAACAGACAGTAGTGACATTATTTTAGTTGTTGTGGTGGTTTTGGTGGTGGTAGTATAAGTACAACCGGTACTTGATGGATGGTGTGGTTAATATTATAATAATTCCTGCTACCCATTTTAGTCAGAGTGGACACGGATGCCAAGGTCAATTTGAAAAATAAAATATTGCCTGGTGAAGAATTCACATCCTCCGGAGAGGGAAAGAGGAGTAGTTGGTGGATTGGATAGGAAAGGGTAAAGGGGCGATGACATAAACTGTTAACTTAGAGAGCTTAAAAGATGATGTTACAAATTTGATTTTTTTTTTAATAACACTGACAAAGCTATTATAATTTGTCTTTTTTTTTTTAAATCGTATTAGTTGGTTATTTAAAAATACAGTAGTAAGCTTTACTTTGAGCACTTTAAAAAAAAAAGCTGTAGAATGTGATAAACAAATCACTATTTGTTTTGGTGTTAATAATACAGTTTGAATAACGACTAATATACAGACACATTTATATGCTGCGTGTTCTAGAGTCCGCAAACCAGACTGTCTCTATTTCTGCGCGGACACTGATTCTGATATTAAACATGTTAGACACGTGCGCTATTTTTTCTCATTAGGCAAACTGGGCCACAGCAACATGTGGCCGGGTAGGCTGGTATTTATTTTTAAAATTAACATCTTTAGACACAACGGAATACTGTTTCTGTAACATGAGGTGATTTTTCAGTTTTTTACTATAATGTCCAACGTATAAATTTGAGTTCAGCAACATGTTTGGTCTAGTGTGTAAACATGAGACCAGCGCGCATTTGGTCCAAATTGTGAATATGAGTCCAGCAGCATATTTGGCCCAGTGTGTAAATATGAGTCCAGCAGCATATTTGGTCCAGTGGATAAATATGAGTCCAGCAGCATATTTGGTAACATGAGGTGATTTTTCAGTTTTTTACTACAATGTCCAACGTATAAATTTGAGTTCAGCAACATGTTTGGTCTAGTGTGTAAACATGAGACCAGCACGCATTTGGTCCAAATTGTGAATATGATTCCAGCAGCATATTTGGCCCAGTGTGTAAATATGAGTCCAGCAGCATATTTGGTCTAGTGTGTAAATATGAGTCCAGCAGCATATTTGGTCGAGTGTGTAAATATGAGTCCAGCAGCATATTTGGGCCAGTGTGTAAACATTAGACCAGCACTCATTTGGTCTAATGTGTAAGCATTAGTACAGCAACACGTTTGGTCCAGTGTGTAAAAGTGAGTACAGCAGCACGTTTTTTCCAATGTGTAAACATGAGTCCGGCAGCACGTTTGGTCCAATACGTGAACATGAGTTTAGAAGCACGTTTGGTCCAATATGTGAACATGAGTTTAGAAGCACGTTTGGTCCAATATGTGAACATGAGTTTAGTAGCACGTTTGGAGCGGTCGATAAATATGATTCCAGCATCATATTTCGTTTAATGTGTAAACATTAGTCCAGCAGCATGTTTGGTTCAATGTGAAGACTTGAGTTTTGGAGCAAATGAAGCTATTATCGATTTCACACATATGTAGACGTAAATAAACGGGGTAAATTCTAAGTTCAGTCAGCAACAAAACCTCATTAGCTGGCGACCTAAGTAATGGGATGCTGGTTTAAATGCCTACGGCGACTTCTACTAAACAATCTAAAGTGCATAATTCATTCGAAATCATTGAATGATTGAGTTCTGTCAAACCATTTGATGTTTCTTTTGTGCTTTTGTAATAAATCCATTGGAAAGAGAGAGGGAGAAAAAAATAAGAAACAGTAATAATTGCATATAGTTACCATGATCTTCTGTGTTCAATAGATGCAACAAAAATATTTATTTTTTTCAGTATGCGGGCGTACATTGCAGAAGTCAGCAGGCACATTTTATCACAGGTCGAGACCGGGTGAACCAGACTCTTGTGTGTGGCGTTTATCTGCTAAACAAAGGGAGACAATTGCTCTCAACATTACCCGCCTCAACATAACGATGTCTCCCAACTGTGCTGGAGACTATCTGGAAGTTAGAGATGGACATTATTTCAAGTCGCCACTTCTGGGTTAGCTGAAATTTTAAATAATTTATAGAACTGTTTTTCTTAAATCATATTGTATTTTTATCTATTTCCTACTTTTTCTGCGGTCTCCCTTACAAAAGCAGACAGGTATATGATTTCTATAAACCCCTTACTAGTTCCCTTTTACGGCATACTGCGCGAGAGACAAGGAGTTCCCCCCCCCCCCACACCCCAATGGGATACAATACTACAACGGGAATCCGTTTCCTATATGGTTCAGATGATGTATGAATCGTGAACACACCGATAGGTGACCACACAGCTAAAGACTAGCTGATATCAAACACGCAAGATACGATTTTATACATGATTATAGTCACAGCTGTTGACACTGAGACTAAAACAGAATTATTCTAGAGACAAAAACTAACCCGCCACAGCCAACCATTGACAAATAAAGGTTATGGGTTCAAGTCTGCATCGAAGCTTTTTTTTAAATAACTGACCAGAATTCCCAGGTAATACCAAATTATTATGTGAACCAGGGACTGTATTTTCCCCAAGTATAGGGCGCACTTTTTTTCCCAGAAATATAGGGTTTACAAAAAATGCGAGTCTTAAACAGTGGTTGAATTAAATAATCGTACTAATTATTTCATTATTTATTTAATGATTAGTGGGTTTTTTCCCCGAAATTTCCTGTCCCGGAGCAAAGGGACATCATATACATGGGATCCTCTTAAACCTGAGGAAACACGGTAATATTTTCAGAGGATAAGCCTGGTGGCATAATGTTGACCAAGTCACACATCGAGTGGCAAAGCTAAAAAGGCAAAATTTCCGGCCTCGTCCCTTTTTTTATGCTAACGACTTGTCAGATTATTGAACAGGCCCGTTGGCGTCCTGTCACATTATTATACAACAGTGACAGATGGACGCAATAGCAAGATTACACGTAAGCTGACAGCTTTTAAAAACAAACATAAAAGGAGAATTATACGCTTATTTTAGCCAGACAAGATCACAATATATAATTGAGAAGTAAAACAAAGTGCTGGCAAACATTATCAAAGCAACCGGAACAAAAAGAAAAGAAATGGCTTGGACATGTTTGCAGAATGGATCGTAACACATTTAGCAAGGACAACTTTCCGGTGGCTGAGCAAACATTCATTGGTAAACTCCTGAGTTTTCAGCCATTCTAATTCTTTGTCACAGCCATGACTTCCATTGTCATGCTACTGGTGGTAGAAGCAAAGGCTTCACTGCTTTATTTGGTGACTTGCTATTTAGTTCTTAACATGAAAGCTCATGCACTTCGCTAATGAGGAATCACTGAACCATTTTCTGTAATACCTTTCCACTGTGCTTCTGTTTCCACTTGACATTTCTATCTTTTCGATGTTGACTCTAATATAATTTGTTTAGAATTCTTCATTCATGTATGTCTTTATCAGCTTTCAAGTCCTGATCATCAGCAAAGATTAATTCATTTATGTTACCAATAAATACTTACTAAACTGCCAAGAGAATTAAAATAAATGCTTTTGCATTTCAGGTCGGTATTGTGGTGATCAGATACCACCTACCTTAAAATCGACAGGAAGAAGAATGTGGGTAAACTACGCAACACGAAATGGTGGTTATAACAGCTTTGCTGCATCTTACGAAGGTTTGAGTATTTCCTATTTCTGTAATGAAAAATATAATATTGTCATCCATTGATTGCATTGCACACTTCGCTATAACTCTCCAATATGTTGTTTGTTGTTTGCGCCTTTCTGTCTTTTTCAGTGGTCTCTGACCTCAGAGGGAGGGGATGGGGCCCGCCCCCTTAGAGGGTATGAGGACGTTTCAAGGTAGGGGAGGGGGGGCAGCAAGCAGTTTTTCAAAGTACGTACGTCTGTACTTATAATAATCCGGATTTTCTGCTATAACCTTCATGAAAATATCATTGCTATCTTCTTGTGGAGAGTGACCTCCGTTGTACTTCGCTCAACATCAGACAAAGAACAGAGGTATCATGAAGACAAAACATAGTCAAACATACTTTTAATATTTGGACACTAAATTCCCAGTTGCAGGTGATTTTTCTTTCGTTATTTGACACCTAAACTAATGTCCATGTTTTACTCCAAGTTGTTAACACTGCTTGGAAATTTGCTTTTCTATAATATTTTATGTGGGGATGTGAAGGTGTTTTCAAATATACCGAGGGGGTGGGGGGCATCTGAAAGGGGTTGGAGACTCCTGGTCTTTCAAGACAATTGTATAACTCGTAATACTTTAAGTATTGACTAAGCTTATGACAGAGTTGGAGACAAGGATGAAGTAGAGGATGTGAGAATAACGTTTTCGTTATCTATCCCTGGCCATACTCTTATATTCTGCTGTAGGAAGGCATGGGAATCACAGCCCATAGCAACGACCAATGTGACTAGAAAGACCCGATAGCTTTAAAAGTAGTATTTCAGAATCTGAGCATGGGATTTTATAACAATTATTCCAATTGCATTTAGTAAAGTGCTTCTTTTATATTAAAAGAATAGTAAGCTACTCCCTTAATCTCGTCAGGTACATCGATTACTATAAAATCCATTTGTCTGTGTGTACTGACAACTAATAACTCCTCCCTCAAAGTGACAAAATTTGCTGTGTCAGTCTGGCTGCAATTTGAAACTGTTAGGTTATATCTACGGCAAATGTTTCTACAGATTTCTTTCAATAAACGCCACAGTCACTAAAAAGGTCAAATTCACTGGAGTTATATCACTTTAGTATCCACATATTTTTATTGCATCCCCTTTCATCTCTCTTCATCCAACATTGACGTTCTCCGCCATGGCAGGGGGAGGTGGGGGGGGGGGGGGGGGGGCTTACTTGATAGCTTGATAGCAGCCGTTTTGTATACTCGCCGGGTAGCTCTCTGCCTGGGTTCATGGACCTCTGATGTATTTAAGCTCCAGGACTACCACAGGGGTCTGCAATCTCGCCTGTACTGTTCAATGTTTGTAAGAGCATGATTGCATACTTGGAAACACTTGGAGTTGGCAGAATATTGGCGTTTGCAGATGGTGTTCTCGTATAAAGGAAGGGGAGAGATCGGGATCAAAAAGCCCAAGAATGACAGGCGACAGTAGATAAGGTGATCGACTGGTGTACAGAGATGAGTGCTGAAATCAACTCAGAAAAGGCAACCGTCCTGTGGTTTTTATGGGCAACAGGATTGCTGGAGCGGATGTTTCCGGACTCAAAATCATGGCAGGGACATCAACAGAGACAAAAGACTACGGTACCTGGGTATCACCTTTGACAGAAGTTTGTCTTTCAAGGATCACACAGAGGTGGTTGTGACAAAGGCTTAAAAAGGTCTTAATGCACTAAAGAAAATGGATTATGGTAGTAGAAGCAAAGGCTCCAATGTCGACTATGATGACTTTCCGTTTAGTTCTTATCATAAAAGCCTACGATTCTGACGGATCACGGAACCATCTTCTCTGATACCTTTTCACTATAAAACTAATCTGCGATGGACATGAAGCAGAGAATGCTGTTCACACTTTACCAGCACAAAATCATCTCAGTGACTTTTTACGGAGTGTGGTTACTCACTGTCTCGAAGAGTCAGCTAGAGAAACTGAAGTGCATACAGAATGAAGCTACGCGGGTGATCCTGGAATGGACAAGAGACACTTGGATTGTGTGCATGCGATACATCCTTGCATTGCCGACTATTGCAGATAGGTTAAAGGTGCTGCAGGCTAAATCATACTTCAGAGTAGCAACAGACAAAGCTGTATGAAGCTCTGGCTGCAGTTAAGGGTCAGAGGATGAAAAACAGATAATCAAGGATGGCTCAGGTAGAAGACACAACAAAACAGGTATGCATGCTGGAGAACATTTGGCGAGGAGAGGAGTGGGTCAGAGTACCAAAGAAAAAATCTGACCTGTGTGTGGTTATTATCACATTTGGCGGGGAGGGCTAAGAGTGGTCAGGGGGTGCTAAGGAGGTGGAAGTCCAACGGCTGATTCATGACAATTCACGCCCAGGTGATCTGATTATCAATACAGATGGTTCGGTGTTGAGAAGAAAGCGAAGTGCTTGGGGGTTCGTATCGAAAGCCAATGGAAAATCTTTAGTTGAAGACAGCCTAGAATACGACATCACAACATCTAGCATAAGAATAGAGGTTGAGGCGGTAACTGCAGCTCTCTGGTGGCTAGAGAATAAGATGCATACACATGTCTTAATTGTAACAGACTCTAAAAGCATGATGAGAACGGTAAAGACAGGAATGCTTTGAGCTGAGTGGCAAGCTTCACATGAGAGGTCACGGGTAGTGAGCATACTTTGGATTTTTTCTCCACGCTATGACGGCGTGGTGGATAATGAACAGGCAGACAGATAAGCTGGATCTGCACTACTGGGTGGTGAATTGATACATGACAAGAAAGATGTGGTCAAAGCCATTTGGGAACAAGCAATGGAATCAGTAAAGAAACAAGAATATTATGGTCTGAAGAGAATGAGGCACTTGGGTGTAACCAGTGGGTCTGGCTGGCTCACTACACTCAGAGGAAAGGCAAGATTGACATAAAACCAGACTGTGACCGGTACATCCGTGTTGGAACTCTGTGCTGGCTGCTAAAGTTGCGGACGAAGTATGTACGGGAATGCCCCGAGTGATGTGATGTCAATTATAGACTCAATTTCGTATGGGGGGGGGGTGGATGGGAGATGGCAAATAGATCTATTGCCTCCCTAGCAAGCATGTTGTAATTAGTTTCCTTTGAAGTCGAATGCATGTGCCTGAGATGCAAAGAACCATCAGTATACATACAAATACGCTAGATCTGTGAAACGGATTTGCACACAAAACTGAAGTTTTGGAAAACGAATAACGTTCAGAAGTGCACGAAAAACTGAAACTTTTCACTGGAGTTGGACAGTCGGTGAACACACAAAAAAAGAAGAATCTCCCTCCATCCTTGCATGAGACGAGAGCCGCGAAAGCATTTTGTTTGTTGTGTGTAGTTTGTCCCCTCAAAGATTGTAGTCTGCAGGATTACCATTTAAAGTATGTTTATTCTACCAATAAAAGCCTCACTGACATTATGCGTAACATTTAATTATCTTCTATGCCATATAACAGACAATACATGTGTCTCAGATTTTTCTCGAACCCTTAAACGTCCAAGTTATTTTACTGTATCATCAGCTCTTCGCAAAACTAACCAAACAAGGCAAAAATGATTGGTATCTGAACGACAGTTTATTTAAAGGAATTGAAAACCGACCACACCTGCCAACCTGCCAAGCGTGTTTAGGTATAATCCGCACTCTTCGTGCTTTATCGTCAATAACTGTTCTTACTAAGCCACTGTGGCTCTAAATGTGGCCTAAGTACGAGGGGTTTTAAGCGAAAACCTTAAAAGTGTGATAGAAATTACAATAACCATGCGATTGTCTTGTAACCTAACAATATTGTTGTCAAGGATGTCAGGAGTTTTAAGCATGTGAAATAACGGTGTAGAAAAACATGGTGACGTCAAAATGACAGTTTAAAGGTGGCGACCTCACTTTTGTCATAACCCAATATAGGCACTGTTCTATTTTCCGTGGGGAGCGGCAGGGCGAGGGTAAACAAGGGACCTATACAAATGTATCGACGAATGACGGTCTAGGATGTGCGGGATTTTCACTCTTGTGTCAACTCTGGGGTCACTACACGGTGAGCAAGACGTGGTCGTGAACAGCCTGTAAAAGAAGTCAAGCGGTTTTGAAACTTCCTACTCCCCTCGTATACACTTGCTGGACAGCCATGGTTTACTATGTCTTGTATTTCTTTCCGACGTATAGTGCTGGTAATAATTAATTGTATTAGTAATAAGTAATGATAATACAATACTAATTAACGTTTGATTGATGGTGGATTGATTGCACATCTCGCTATATCTCTTCAGACAAATGATTGATTGCGCCTCTCCGTCTTTTCCAGTGGTCATTTGCCTCATGGGGAGGGGTGCGGCGCGCCCCCTGGGGGGGGGGGCATTCGGAAGTTTCAAGAGGGGCGTCAAGCAGTTTTCAAATTACGTCAATCTGTCCTCTTTTTCTTTTTCATAAGCATTCCGCGCCCTCGAGGTTCATTGCTGCAGATATCGCCCGCTTCTATTTATCTCTATGGATGACCTTTTCATTCCAGATGGTGACACCAAGTGTTTGCAGATCTGTTTGGACATTATCTCGTCATCTTCTTCTTGGTTTGCCTCGTGGTCTTCGACCATTCATCTCCCTTGTGTATACAGTTTTTACTTCTCTGTCATCTGACATTCTTTTAATGTACCCAAACCATTTAAGTCTATTAGCTCTTATGATCCCAGTGATCAGTTGGGATTTAAAAAGATTATGAATTTCGTTGTTGCTTCTCACTCTCCATTCCCTGCTGTTTGCATCTCTGATGGGTCCAAAGATTCGTCTCAAGTCTCTGTTTTCGAAAACCTGTTATAAGGCTTCATCTCTTTTAGTTGTGCTCCAAATTACAGAGCCATATAAAACGACTGGTCTTATCGACGTTTTATATATTTTGATCTTGGTGTTTCGAGACACTTTGACTTTAGCAGATGTTGAAGGGCATTTTATACTTTTTTTTCAGATTTTATTCTAGACAGTATTTCTACTCTCAGCATGTTGGCGCAGTTGAAGTTTGCACCCAAGTACTTTATATTTCTGTTCGTTTGATTTTCTTATTATCAACTTCTGTGTGGTCGGAGTTTATATATTTTCCCTGTCTAGTTATTATCATGTATTCTGCCTTATCTTGATTGATAACTAGTCGCATTTTGTGAGCTGATTCTTTTAAGAGAGTCAGTGTTTCAACAGTCTCTAGTTCATTTTCTTTAACAATATAAATGTCATCTGCATATCCGAGTATTCTTGTAGATTCTCCTATAATACACACTTTTTTCAATTTCCTTATAATTTTCGCCAGTAGCAAGTTGAAAAGAAGTGGAAATAGAGCATCGCCTTGCTTTAAACCAGATGTTATTTAAAAAGGGTCTGACTGTCTGCCTCTATATACTATCATGTTACTTGTGACCTCCATACATAGTTTGGTCATGGTAATTTACTTCTTTGGTATTCCAAAGTCCTTCATAGCATTCCATAAACTGTTTCTATGTACACTATCATACGCTTTTTTGAAATCCACAAAAACATTATATACATGCCTTTTATATTACCAATTCTGCTCTATTTGCCGTAAAATGAATATCTTACGCTGATCTGTTCTGTCAGAAAAAACCTGCTTGGTAATCTCCCAATATTCGAATTGTTTTAACCTGTTTTGCAGTACTGCCGATAGTGTCTTATAGCTTAAAGATAATAGTGATATTCCTCCATAATTTTCACACCAATACTTGTCTCCTTTCTGCGAAATAATAAAGACACGTTCCATTCATGGGGTAATTTCTCCGTGTTCCAAATTAGTTTTATTTATTCACTTATCTTTGCGTGTAATGCATGACCACTTTTTTTAAAACTTCAGCTGCTATTCCATCGGCACCTGTTGCTTTATTGTTTTTAAGCTCTTCAGTATTTGGTTCACATGTCAATATCTCTTCCTATCGTATATCGGGATCGAATTCTAAGGACGTAGCCAACTATTATCTGTTATAATATTTCAACTACATTGGGCTCACACAAAATCCACGGTAAGAGCCTCCATTATCTGTCACAGACTTACTTTATTATCTACTTACTCTGGCTCGTTGAGTAGGCAAGCTAACAGACTTAATTGCCATAGAACACACTTAAAAACATACCCCTACAGAGTACACACATAATCTTAAATGTACAAAGAACAATTCAACCTAAAGCAAGCCTCAACAGCAATGGACGTTTCTTAATCTGAAACGCCGGCGGTGATAGCGTTTAGATTCACTAATACACTCCAAGCCGTTCCCGTGGATATACCAAGGACTCGATTCCACCTCACTGTCGGACAGTGCTAACTAAGCTGCCGTCCTCGCCAAGCGAGAATCGGTGGCACACGTCAGGTGAGTGATTAAAGTATGAGTGGGCAGTGTTAACGCCATCAACAATGCACGTCAACATTAACTACATGCTGAACAGATTCTGCGTGAAAACTTCTGGTACGCAAGAAACATTACAGAAAAACAATCTTGCCAAAACACCGTATGGAAACACAACATATCTAAACCATAACCACAAATACTTTACTTGATAATCGTCACTAACAGAAGTTATATTTACAGTCGCAGTCTGACAAACGTCCACTCCAAGTCTCCCAGAACAACCTCTGTCGGAGCCTCTTTGTTCCTCGTCAGTATTCATTGTTTGTTTTAGTATCCAGAAGCCATGAGTTGTTAACCCTTAGGCTCGGTATTATGGATATCGCAACCTTTCGGCCTTGATTCCATTGTAAATACCGTGAATCTGGGAGAAAATGTGGCTTTCCTGCCTACCCCCGGGATTGAACCCGGACCACAAGGAGTTCGTCACCCGGTCTCCGCGCAATCCGGTTTAGCCAATTACGCTAGAGAGACGGGCGTCAGTATTCATATCTGACACGCTGTATCTCATGTTACTTGTCGAGCGTAGAGCATAGCCCAACTCAGCCGACACAGTTTATTCCGGGGTGGAACAACCCAATCTCGTTCTGAGTTTGCCTGAGGGTCAGTTTATTCGGCCGTGATTCATCATCATGACACCATGTCGTAATCGAGCTGGTCTCTGACATTTATTAATTGTATTAGTAATAAGTAATAAATATACAATACTAATTAACGTTTGATGAATGGATGGAAGGATGGATGGATTGATGCAAGCATAGATGTGCGGATAAATAAATTATAATTTTGAATTAATATATAAAGATTGTAGGCTATTTCTAATTATATACTCTTCACACTCCACAGCTAGTTGTGGAGGTGAATTCTTTGGTTCTGGAACGATCGCCAGCCCTGATTATCCTGATGAATATCTTCCTGGGAAGAAATGCTCTTGGAAGATTACAGTAAAAAAAGAGTTCATTGTTGTCCTCGAATTTAAATCCTTTCAGGTTGGATTTCAATTTTAACTTAGTAATGTTTCCATCGAATGTTTTCCACCTCATCGAAGTGTGCAAAAGTTTATACAGGGATTGTAGAAGTGTAGTTAGAATAAATCAGGGAACATCTCATCCTTTCACAGTGACATCTGGAGTAAGACAGGGGTGTGTCTTATCACCACTGCTGTTTATCACCTACATCGACAGTATATGCAAGAATGCCAAGCCCATGAATGAAGATCTTAGTAAGATCAACGAATTACTCTTTGCAGATGACCAGGCCTTGATAGCAGATACAGCCATGAAATTGCAACAACATCTAACATCCATGAATGAAGAATGTAAAACAAATAATATGAGAATCAACACTGAAAAGACAGAAGTAATGTCAATAGGAAAAAAGAAGACAGATCTAAACATAACAATAGAATACAAAGGCATTAAACAGGCATCTGAGTTTAAATATCTGGGAACTACATTTACCGAAGATGGGAAATTGGATAAAGAAATTGACATTAGATGCAGTAAAGCAAACCGAGTATTGGGACAGCTAGCCCCCCCTCTTACAGCATAAGACAATCCCAGTCAGCACAAAGAGACATCTTATTCAAAGCATATTTATTCCAACTCTGTGCTACCAGTGCCAGACATGGTCACTCACAACAAACCATAAAAGAAAATTAGTAACCACGGAAATGAGATGTCTGAGAAGGGCTGTAGGAGTGACCATAAGAGATAAGATCAGAAATGAGATCATAAGAGAACAAGTCGGCACAGAACCAATTCTGGATTACATACAAAGACAGCAAGTGAAATGGTTTGCCCACTTAGAGAGAATGCCTTGTGACACCATACCATACAAAGCATACATGGGAAGAGAAGAAGGACGTAGAGCACGGGGTAGACCAAGAACAAGATGGAAGGATAACATCAGAGAAACTCTACAACAGCACGATGTGCCTATGGTCGAGGCAGCCAGAAGAGCTAGAAACAGAACCTTATATCTCCCTCGACACCCACAGCGGTAAAAGAGGAAGTGAAGAAGAAGAAGAATGTTTCCATACATTTTGAAATCTGGACAAATGTCAATAGAGCTCTACTACCGTTAAAAGTGCGAATAGGGCAGTGTTAGTCACATTTCGACATCTTTTGAAATCTTCTGTGACATAACGCAGTGTTTGTCACTTTTCTATAGCTTCTGAGTCATGATGTAGTGCTTGCATGATGTCGAAATCTTCTAAGGTATTTTGCAGGATTTGTCACACTTCTTTTTTGCTTCTGTGGCATCATGCAGTGCTTGTCCCAGTCCAATATCCTATGAAGTATGACGCAGTGTTTGCCACATTTCTATATTTTGTGAAGCATGAACCAATGTTGGTCAACTGTCTATTTCGTGTGAGTTTTTACGCAATATTTGTCAGTTTCTATATCTTGTTAGCTATGATGCAATGTTAGTCACATTTCTATATTAAATGAGGTATTAGGTTTTACCAATGGATCAACATGATGGCGCACGGATGTAATCCATAAGTGCTCCGTTCTTCTTCTATCTGAAATTTGAGTCTGAAGTCTCAGCACAGTTTAGAGGCTGTGTAGCACCGGTGAGGATCCTGAGATGCTTTAAGTAGATTTTTAAATCTAATTTTTCCCCGGGAGGCGCCGTTAGTCTACCTTTTTTCGATTTCCTATTGCCATGGAATTTTTTACGTACGCAACACGATCTCAGTACCCAGACACCAGTAGAAATTACTAGGAGTTCAACAAGTCCACGTGAAAAAATCTCAGCCCTTACCGGTGATTGAACCCCGAACCTCGAGCACTCGAGGCGGACACCGTGCCTTGAGAACACGCAGGTATGAAGCAAGATATGTCACATGTCAATATCTTATGAGGACTGGCACAGTGTTAGTCGTCGCCCTCAAGTGAAGCTGGCGTAGGCGTGCATGCATCTCTAAAGATCTCGGTCTCAAGAACTACATCTCAGGTGCCTCAAAACTTTACGTATTTTTTTAAAATCACATTCTAAGATTATTTGCCATACAACAGAACAGGCTCGATGAGTTATTTATTACATTAGATATTTTCATTTTCTGAAATGCTGCCTTTGCTTGGCCAATTGTGCTTTTAATTTCTGTCACACATAGTCCATCTGATGTTATCAATGTCGCCAAATACTTGTATTTATTGACTTGGTTAAGCATTTTCACTTCTATTGCTGTGTCACATTTTGGAGTTATCTTCTTCTCCTTTGATATAATAATTGTTTCTTCTTTTCTTGACATTCACGGAAAGTTCCTTTTTGTGTATATGTGTGCTAGCGGGAAAAAAAGAAAATGAAAAAAAAAAACACAGAAGATAGGGGAGATTAGGAAAATTGTAATTAGGACAAAAAGTAATTGTTCCCCGCTAAACAGCAAAGTAAAGAAAAGACAAGAGGTTTTTCTGCGCAGATATCCTAGAAAATTCAACCAGAACCCAGAAAAAGAATATCTGTATAGTGAGTTACATGACAACAACCTAAATATATGGCTACATTCACCTAGAGGTACTATGTGCACGGACTACAGATCCTAAATTGAATCAAGCAAATGAATTATGTTCATCAAATTAAACAGCTGTTTATTTTGCTGAACCCAAAATTACCTCACAGATAATACATTAACAACAACCAACGTGCTCGACTGGATCTAAAGTGCTAATCACATCCAGCTAACAAGATAATATGGTAATGAACGCATACGCTCAGAAAAATTACCTTAGCAATGGCAAAAACCTAAGCATAATAATTTAAAATATATGTTGAGGTCAAATATGACCCAGACTAGTAAATCTCTTTTAGCGACCTGCAATCTAACTATCTCTGAACGAGGATACGCACTGATACATCTACCCACACTGTTTAACTACTAGAGAGAAATTTAGATCTAACTACAGAACGGCCACTATCGCAAACACGAGCCAGAATCTCTATCTCGGCCTGGCCTGCATAGCGATGCGGCTATGTGCTACCAGCGTCAACACCACAGGGCAACTGACCTCTGCCAGCCGGACCACACAACAAATCACTGAAACTCTTCGGAGATGTTGCAGGGTCAGACTCCTTGAAACAAATCAGTAGGTTTTCTAGTTGTGACATCTCTCCAATTCACTTTTAGTAATAATCCAGTCAAGATCTTTACAAGCTATATACTTCTACACACAAATCTGGTAAGACTTTTACACTTACTGATATCACGATGACGACATTTATTTCTTTTTTCAGAATCACTTGGGAATGTGAATACTGTTACATATTCACTCGTCGATTTATAATTAGATTTAAATAAAGGAATACTACATTTCCTAGGAGTTTTTATTTATATAATCACACTCCACAACACAGTTAAATATAGTTAATGACGTCTGTGTCCACAAGACCCAAAACATCTGAACAAAGAACACATCGGTCGAAGAAGGAAGGAAGTAGAACCCCTACTGTAATGTCACATGATAAGTTGTAAATACTATAAATAGCTCCAGAAAGGCATGGCTGTTTGTTACCTCAGCCGCGGGGCTTACATTAGACTGCTTCCAGTCTTGTCTGGGCCGCATGGCCATCGGGAGACATATATTTTACTCGTCACTACCACCGCCTCGTGGCTTCCGAGGGACGTTTGACCTTGCCACCCTCACATAGCTTTCACGAACATTTCATAACTTTTACCTCAGCTTCGGGAAAGCCTACAATAGACATCAAACAACAGACCTCAGCTCTGGGTAAGCCTACAATGGACTGATCGGATGTGCCTCAGCTATGGGTAAGCCTACAATAGATATCGGACATTACCTCGGCTTTGGGAAAGTCTACAACAGACTCACTCTTGTCTCGGCCGCATGGTCAACGAGGTACATTTTTTACCACTGTCTCGGCCGCTATGCCATCAAGAGACATATTTAACCACCATTACCTCGGCTTTGTGAAAACATACAAATTGACATTGCGGTCACAGCAATGTTAAAATACTTCACTACGTAACTGGCTCGGTCGGTGTACTTCACACAAGGCTCCCTTAAAAAATGAACAGACCTACAGTTAAACTTTGATGTAGGGACAGAATAATAAATAAACTGACCTCAAGCTCAGGTCGAAACGTAAACAAGCCACTCCGTGCACAGTAGACAAAAACCAACAATAGACATAGACCACTGCAAGTGAAACAAAACTACACAGGCCGCACCTACACAAGTTCTGAACCAAACTAAAATGTGAATCAACATGATAATCTGAGCGACTAGACTTGGCAAATTAAACGACTCGACAACGCTACTCATCCTTGAACAAGATGATGTAACATCTAACTAAGCACACGCCGAAAGTCTGCGATAAAGAAACCACACTGTGGGCGCCATTTAAGAATTAAATTATGTAACACACATATTCGAAGTCTGTGAACAAAAAGAGCATGTGGGCGCTATTCACAACCAATCTAAAACATGAATCACTCTGATAACCTGCGCTAACTAGACTAGACACAAAACTAACCATGGCCACCTATACTGCCCGACGACGCCACTTGTTCTAGAAGCGAAAAACAAAATACTGACAAATACTAGCAGACCAACAGCCATGTAGTACTGTTACCTGTGGAAAAACAGAAATATGACTTCCTGTCAATTTCAACATTTGATACATGCACATATTTTATAGTTAGGTAACTTTCTTCTGCCATTAAGCAGCATCAACTCTGGGTTTGATCACTATTTATGATGAAGGTTATCAGTGCCACTGTAGCCCCGCATACCCTAGTGTACGGGTCCAACCACTAGGCTGGGAACTCATGAGCATCGCCAGATGTGCAACACATCTCACAATAATAGCAATGGTCTATAAAGGTACATAACACCATATAATGTCTGATTACAACTTATAAATCCCCAATAATAATCTTAAGTGTCATATTTCCAAAACTTCACATCAAGTAAAGGTGGCGGGCATGATGCTGATTGTTCTATAAAGTATACGTCTGGCCCTATACACCTAAAGGCGTGAGCAAGGTTCCTTTTACTTGTTAATCCTCCACATCAAACCCCAATGGTTATGAATCATCTGATTGTCATTGATATTATTAATCATAGATAATGATGAGTGCACTCGTGATTATAACTCCACCTGTCATTCAATACAAAATATTACAATGCATTTTTTATATTATAATTCCTCATTTAATCACTGTTCATACTATAGCCCCTTCCTTCTTGCTGAAACCTCAAGAAATTATGTATTACATGAAATACAATGACTAAAACATTACTTTTAACATTAGCAGTTATTTATTAATGGAACCCTCTTACGAGACATCGCTACATTTAAAAGCACTTCTTACTGTAGTATTACATCTGCAGCAGACCTGTAAACGTGGCTCGTAGAACCTTACTAGCTACACGAGGTGATGAAGGATATTGCAGACTATAAATGTACCCCTTAACTCATTTTCCATGACGTGTGAAGTAATAATTTCGTTGATGGTCCCAGGTTCCTCATCTCTATCCCACAAACGATTCGTGACTGTTCATAGTTGAAACAATGCCTCCATTATTGCACCCCAGCACGGACAATATAAATAAAGCTCTAAAAATTACAACTTGTTGCCAGCAACCACAAAATACGGCACCGGTGTGAAAGTCAAGTAAATGACCCTATTCCACGCCTCCAGCCCTACTGTGCATGTATGGCTAGATCTGTGTTTTGTAGATTAATCAACGCTTGGTGTGTGTTGTGATCGACCTAGGATGCAAAGTCATTTCTGAAAAAATCGGCCTCTGTCGGCGCCGATATATAATTCCAATAATATTAAATCACCGGAGTGATCATTCTTTCTATACAGAAGACATCACCATGCATGTCTACTTTTTGTTATACATACTTCTTACTAGGATCAGTGAGCATATATAGGTTAGTTGCGTATCCTTTACAGGATGTTGCAGAACCAACCCCAACAGCCCCTGGCTGTTGTGTCAGTGAGTATATAGTCTTGGGAAATGCTGCTTGTTCGTGTATATCATTTCATCAGTGTCTTTATTTGTTAAGAGCTTTTACTTTGTCTTTATCTGTTTTTTTTTTTTTTTTTTTTTTTTTTTATTAGTTACAAGACCACAAAAACTGTGAATACGATTACGTAGCAGTTTACGATGGACCAACAGAGGCATCGCCTTTGCTTGGCAAGTACTGTGGAGATAGAAAGCCAGAAACAATCAAGTCCTGTGATAACACTATGTACGTGAAATTTGTCAGTGATCTGTCTACACAGAAGGCTGGTTTCTCCGCTACTTTTGTTCCAGGTAATATCTTTGTGCTGTGTGGTCAATACATCAACAGTTTTTTTTTTTTTTTTTTATTGCTGGGGGAATTGTGGATGGCTCAAGCAGAAGACATGAGCATTATGCATGCTGGAGAACATTGGGCAAGGAGAGGAGTGGGTCAGAGTACCAGTGGAAAAGTCTGACCTGTATAGGGTTATGATCACATTGGACAGGGTGTGCACAGAAAGGCCAGCAGGTGCTACGGAGATTGAAGTCCAACAGTTGATTCGGGACAATTCAAGCCCAGATGATCTGATTATCTATACAGATAGTTCGGTGCTAAGAGGAAAGAGAAGTGTCTGGGTGTTCGTAGCGAAAGCCAATGGAAAATCTTTAGTGCAAGACAGCCTAGCATAGGACAATACAACATTCAACATGAGAATGGATGTGAAGGCGGTAGCTGCAGCTCTCCGGTAAGTAGATAGCAAGATGCATACACATGTCGTAATTTTAACAGACTGAAAATATGCTGAAAAAGGTGAAGACAGGGATGCTTCGAGCAAAGTGGCAAGCTTCACTGGAAAAGGTCACTGGGTAGTGAGCATACTTTGGATCTTTTCTCCAGGCCATACCGGCGTGGTGGGAAATGTACAGGCAGACAGATTGGCTAGATCTGCACCACTGGGTGGCGAATGGATAAATGACAGGTCAGATGTGGCCAATGCCCCTTTGGGAACAAGCAACGGAATCAGTAAAGAATGAAGATTTTTATGGCCTGGAGAGAATGAGGCATTTGGGTGTCCTTATTATAACGTCCTGGGAGGTTGAAGGGCATATTTGGGCTTGCCCTTGTAGTCTGCAATCAGCATTGAGAATCTTTAATCCCACGGCGTCAGACCTTCACGTCCTATTGGTCGGCCATCAGTACTAAGATTCTTTAACATTCATTGAGATCCTACGTGTCCGATTGGTCAGCCATCCACATTTAGGTCTTCGGATCTCATGGCCCACTTGAAATAAACGGTACTAAAGCACGTGCCGCCGCCACAGACTGTTTAGGTTAGGGTGGTATTTTTGTCTGCCACCTCATCAGTAATTAGAATCTGGGCCTCCTGCATCATACCGTGGCGTTTTTAACTGTAAAACCCCAGTTACTGTATACCTTTCCCAGACAAAAGTAATTTTATGCATGATTTTTTTTGCAGAACCACCTTAAGATTCCAAAGTTTCTTAAGCTGGACAGTTTTACACTGGCTGGACCTACGACGGAAAGTTCTTCAAGAACTCGTGAAAATGGTGCATTAGGCAATATCTTCAATAAACGCATATACCAACTAAAATATGATACGGGCAGACCTTTCTCACTAAATTTGTATTGTATATGTTATCAAAGTACGTGGCACGGTGGTGTGTGTTATATTCGTTCTTTCTTTATGTCTCACTGCGATAAGGGGAAAAAACATAGGTGGGGAAGGCAGGTGAACATTTTTGAGAAAGTGTACATGATGAATTACTTTCACATGTGATAAAAAATGTATAATTTTACACAAAGATATACGAAATCTTATTTTATTAGCTAAACAACTAAAGTTTGGGACGTGCCATTCTGGTCTCAAGACTCTGTGAAGAGAAAACCCAACTGCACCTCCACGCAGTAGAGGATGGTAAATTCACTGTGATGTTGCCAACGTATCTATGGGGACCGAGTATCTACAGTGGTAAGTGTACACCTATGGGGTGCCCTCTGGTGTAAGCGCGAGTATCACAGAGCAGGGTGCTCACTTGCATTGACAATCTAAAAGGTTGCTAAGGCGGAGAACATATTCTATAAAACCACCGGGATGTGGAAAACAAGGGGAAAACTGCCACATTATTACCCCAAGAAACACCACGGAAGAAAAGACATACTGGCATCCTAAGAGATCCGAACATCAAGGAAGATTGGCTAGTAAGCGGTATCTTGTTTCAGAAATAAAATAATATGTTGGCCATATCAAACGCCACGGCGGATTGCACAGAATAGAAGCAGAAGGCATATTACTGTCAATCGTAATCTTCTTTTTTCCCCCATTGTATTTCCGTTTTGTCCTATACATCTTCTTCGTAACCATCCGTTTCCTTTCTCTTTTATCTTGGAGTGACATTTGGTAAAGGGCTCACCTGGAGCAAATATAGAAAGTGTACAAGGGAAGGCCAAGAGATGACTAGTGCTACTTAGAAAACGGGCAGGTTGGAGAGAGAATGGAAAACCCTCTAAAGAAAGTTTATAATAAAGCGATAAGACTCCCACTACGAGTCTGATGCAACAGCGTGTTCATTAGCTGCTAATTCTTTTTTTTTTCTTTTTTTTCTTTTTTAAACACCGTTTTTAATAACACATAATCAGAATAGCCGACCACAATAACTTTTAGAGAGGCTTCCCTTCCATTTTTAACTAACAGTCAGAGCCTGAACTCAACTTATAAGCCGCCATCATGAGGATTAAACACTCAACATGACCTTGCAGGAGCGCGCCATATCCCACCAACCAGGCTCGCGCCAGTCGCCGCAAACCTGGCGCGCATGGGGCAAAGAGGCGCGCATGGAGCAAAGAGGCGCGCGTGTTGGGGGCATGATATGGATCCGCGGTTAGTTCGACGTTAGTCTCTCTAAATAGAGTAGGTCACTATTCATTCACAAGTTTGTTGGGCTGGTCGACCTTCATGAAAGTTACGGGTGTGCCCTCCTCTGTTGTTTGGTCTATGCGATGTCTTGCTTTTACGTTTTGATTCCGAGAAAGAGATTTCCTGTGACATAGGCTAAAGAACCCTCTAGAGGGGTTGTGTTAGACCCAGTTTCTCCATGTTTTTGGAGTGTTAAAAGTGTTGGCGTGCTGAAATATACAACACGCGATATCAACGGCATTGTGTAACACCCCTGTAACCGTGTGTGAAGGTCACAGGGTTCAGGAACTACCAATCAGAAGTGAACTAGTGTGTATATTGGCATGGTCTGGGAAGACTAACTTTGAAATAACCTGGATACGCAACAAGTAACTCTACTTATAGGCCTAATTGTGGAAGACATTTCTTAACGCGAGCGGGTCTTGCTAGTCACACTCGCCATCGATATGGGCTGTCAGTCCCATTCCTCCTCAAAGCGCAACATAATACTATGTTCTGGAAAGACAGAAATGTGCCAATCAAATCAGAGAGCAGGTCGACGACGACACAAGACAATGACCTTTAAAAACGATCAGCTGTTTTACTATGATGCAGGAAAACTATCCCGAACAGTGGTGGAAACTTGCAACAAGTAAGATTAAACATGGAGGTGTTGGCATTTTTATCACATACCAAGATAACCACCTCCACACGAAGTATATATATCCACTGGTAAATTATGTTGTAACATTGCTCTACCACACTGAGGGTGCTGTAACATTGCTCTACCACACTGAGGGTGCTGTAACATTGCTCTACCACACTGAGGGTGCTGTAACATTGCTCTACCACACTGAGGTTGCTGTAACTTCACTCTACCACACTGAGGTTGTTGTAACTTCACTCTATCATACTTAGGGTGTTGTAACATCACTCTACCACACTGAGGTTGCTGTAACATCACTCTACCACACTGAGGTTGTTGTAACTTCACTCTATCATACTTAGGGTGCTGTAACATTGCTCTACCACACTGAGGTTGCTGTAACATTGCTTTACCATACTGAGGTTGCTGTAACATTGATCTACCACACTGAGGTTGTTGTAACTTCACTCTATCATACTTAGGGTGTTGTAACATCACTCTACCACACTGAGGGTGCTGTAACATTGCTCTACCACACTGAGGGTGCTGTAACATCACCATATTGCTGTTACTGTATCATCACTCTATCACAGTGTGGTTGTAACATCCCTACTACAATAACATTGTTATAACATCAATCTACCATACCGAGGTTGCTGTAACATCACTCTACCACAGTGATATTACTGTAATATCACTCTACCACTATTGTAATACCACTCTACTTCTCATAACATATACAACATTATAACCAACCACAGACACACTATTTAAGGTCAGCTCCCAGACTGTGTTGTCTTTATTTCCTGGATGAATTTTCCTTTCAATTCAGGAGTCCAATAAAACTATAACTAGCCGTACATGAAGCACAAGGGCACAATAAAATACAATTTATTCTTTCTAGCTGGAATCAACTAAACCTACAGACTCCATGATTCACACAGCTGGTACAGTTTATCCTGGGGATAGTGCTGACTGGACAAGGATTCAAAGTTTATTGATCCTGGTGATAAGAATTCTCTCTCCTGACATCACGGATGCTTCATCTTCTGAAACACAAATGGGGGAGAACAAGAAATCCCCCTCAGCACATTACCCAGTAATGCCCTTTACAACGATTTCCCTCACACTTACGGCATTCACACTCCTGAAGGGATCAATATTCAACACACGTATATTCAATTTGTTTAATTTAACTTTTTTTTTTTTGAATACTTTTCCCTATTTTTTCTAATGCCGACTTATTTATTTGTTTCGTAATATAGCCCTTCATGTCAAAAGTTTCTCGCCATTACGCATTTCATGGTTTCATGATGACCTTGGTTGTTTCATCTTTGTCTTGTCCGCTGAGTTTTCCAATCACAGTTTGTGTTTTTGTATTTAATACTCCATTGATAAAGACATTGGTTGAAACGGTTAGTTGCATTTTTGTGCGTCTTCTCCATTCCCTTTGCTGAGCTTTCTAGTCACAATTTATGTATTTACTGAGCAATTCCTGTCATCAGCTCAGCTGTGGTCACCCCCTATTTACCCACTATGCCTGAGCATTTTAACTTAATGTCCCGAGTATCTGATCTGTTGTGATATCCTCCAGGGCACACAGCCCAGTGTCAGATCTAACCATGTTGCCTAATGTGAGAACACCTAAGCATTTGATCTAATATGATATCATCCAGGGCAAACTGCCCAATGTGAGATCTCCATGAGCATTTAGTCTAAAGTGAGATTCCCTTGAGCAGTGGTCTCATATGAGATTCCCCAAACATTTAGTCAAACGTGACTTAGCACAGTCCCAGTGTGAGTTCTCATTAACGTCCTACCCAATGTGAGATCCATAATAATGCTCTGCCAAATAAGAAATCCAGCTCCCAATTTATTTTCTTCAATGTGGCATCCTCCACAGCAAACCAACTAGTTAGATGCACGTCCTTAACAGGCAGCTGCAGAACCAACCCCTGCACTTTCTTGGCTGTTTGTGATATCTCTAGTCAATTTTACATTCAGTAGTTTGCCATTTCTTTCTCTCAATACCACAATCAAAACCAATGCAATGCAGTCTGCTGCCAAATCGCCTGCAGCTGGAACTGAACCTGGCACCTCAGCTTTATGAAAAGCATTCACAACGCCTCAGCCACAGATTCTGTCTAGGGCATGCAGCATAATGTAAAATGCTCCATATGAGACCCACATACCAATATGCCCAGAGCAATTTGCCCAGTGTGAAATACCTTGTGCATGCTGCCCAATTATACAGGCCCCTGATCACACTGTCTACTATAAGATTTCCTAAACATACCATCTCACCTAACCTCCTGAACAAACTGTCCAATGTGAGATCTCATCTGCACACTGCCCAAATACTGATGTCCTTTATCACACTGATCCCTGAAACATACAGGTTAATTACATCTCCAATCCTCTTTCCACACTGCCCAACACAGATCTCCTTAAGCAAACTACCCAATGTGAGATCCACTGAACACATTTCTCAACAAAGATCTTCCTAAGCAAACTACCAAATGTGAGATCCACTGAACACCTGCCAAACACAGATCTCCCTAAGCAAACTACCCAATGTGAGATCTGCTGAACACCTGCCCAACACAGATCTCCCTATGCAAACTACCAAATTTGAGATCTGCTGAACACCTGCCCAACACAGATCTCCCTAAGCAAACTACCAAATTTAAGATCTGCTGAACACCTGCCCAACACAGATCTCCCTATGCAAACTACCCTTTGTGAAATCCACTGAACACATTGCTTAACAAAGATATCCCGCAGCAAAAACTTCCCAATGTGAGATCAACTGAACACCTGCCCAACACAGATCTCTCTCAGCAAACTACCCAATGAGATCCAATGAACATACTGCCCAAGTAGAAGCCTCCCATATCAAAATCAAAACTCCACCACAGGGCTACTAAT